TGTGTAAAGCCACTCATCCACCTAATCAGGAAAAACCCCAGATCCAGATCCACCAGTTGTGGCCTCTTTATGCTTCTCTTTTAAACGCCAACATTTAGCTCCATCAAGCATTGCAGGCCTCACCACCATCTTATAAAATTTTCCTTTCAGTTTAAGCGGTACTTTTTTATCACACAATAGGCCCAAAACATTCCTTCACTTCAGCCAGCCAACTTGAATTCTACTAATAACATCCCCATCTACATCACCATCACTTATAACAATAGACCCGAGTTATCTAAAGCATTCACAATTTTTAATAATTTGATCACCCATAGTTACAATTTTGTCACTAGAACCACTACTACTAAAATTACATTCCATGTATTCAGTTTTAGTTCTACTCAAACGAATACCTTTAGACTCCAATGTAGACACCCATAATTTAAATTTTTTCTTAACTTTCTCTCTTCTTAGCCACGAAAAGGATATCATCAGCAAAAAGCATACACCAAGGTACCTCCTGTAAATTTCCAGTAAGCCATCCATAATAAAAGCAAAAATATATGGCCTTAAAAATGAACCTTGATGTAATCCAAAGGAATAGCAAAGTATTTGGTCAATCCTCCTGTTCAAACACAAGTAAGAACTCTAGTATACATATCTTTAATGACTTGAATATAAGTCACATGAACACCTTTTTTTTTTCAAAAACTCTCCAAAGGATATATCTCGAAACCTATCAAATGCATTTTCTAAATCAATAAAAATCAAATGTAGATCCTCCTTATTATCTCTGAAGTTGTCCAAAAAACCGTTCTCCACCAAACCTCTCAATAAATGTATAGCTTCCATAGCAGACCTGTTGGGCATAAATCCAAATTGATTATGAACCAATTGATTATGAGGTATCTTTGTAATACGTCTTAACCTATGTTCAATTACCCTCTCCCATAATTGTAAAGTAAAACACATCAACTTAATTCCTCTATAATTTGCACACTCTTGTTGCACACTTAATTCCTCTATAATTTGCACACTCTTGTGCATTTCCCTTTATTCTTAAAATACTCTTCCTACATACTCTTCCTACACTCCTTAGACATCTTTTTAGTTTTTAAAATAATATTAAAGATTTTAGTAAGCCAAGAAACTCTCAATTCTCCTATATATTTGAACACTTCAATTGGGATATGATCAGGTCCAACAGACTCTTTAGCCTTGGTTTTATTTAAATCTTACAAAACTTCTTTTTTACTAATGCAATGGTAAAAATGAAACATTTATTATTATTAACAATATTAAGATCACTATGGCCAATAATATCATCAGAAAAATTATTAAAAAATTTATCAAAATAACTATCTTTTTCTAAGAAAAATATTTTTTGATTTTCATCTTTAATACACTTTACTTGAGTTAAATCCTTACTTTTCTTTTCTCTTTGTTCAGCCAGTTTATACTGCTATTTTTCACTTTCCTTAGTATCTAATCTAATATAAAGATCACTAAGAGAATAACTTTGAGCATCACAGATTGTTCTCTTAGACTCTTGTCGGCCGTTTGATATTTTTCTTAGTTCTCTAAGCATTTACATTTAAACTAATTTTTATAACCTAAGTTCTTTTATTTTATATTTTCTTGTAAATTATTGTTCCTCCACCAACTATTTTATTTATAGAAACTTCTTCTTTTGATTCTTCAAGTACATCTTTTGCCACTTATTTGATGGTGTTTGTTACTTTATCCCACATTGAATTTACATCTTCTCGAACATCCCAAATTTTGAGATGTTGAATTTTACTCATAAAAATAATTTTATTTGTGTCTTTTAGGTACCTCCATTTAATTCTATAATAATGATTCTTAGTATGTATTGTTTTGCAACTCTTTATCTTAAAATCTAGAACTAATAATTGATGATGAGTACTTAAATCCTCACTTACAATGACCTTAAAATCTTTACATTATAGACGATATCTTCTTCTCATAAAAAGATATTCAATTTGTGTTTTATTAGATCTATTCTTTTAAGTAATAATATGCTCATATCTTTTCTTGAATAAAGTTTTAGCAATAATAAAATCACACGCTAAAACAAAATCTGATATGGATCTACCTTCTTCATTATTCACTCCAAAACCTTAGCCACCATGAATATTTATAAAATCTTCCATGACTTTACGTACATGTACATTTAAGTCTCCTCCAATAAGAATTCTTTTTTCAAGAGGAATCATTTGTATTAGGACATCTAAGTCATTCCATAATTTATCTTTAGAACTATATTTAAAGCTACTTGTGGAACATAAACACTTGTAATATTAAAAATTTTATTATTCATAATAATCTTAAGAGCTGTAATTCTATCTCCAATTCTATAATTTAAGAAGAAAAAGTTGGAATTAAAATTAATGTATTAGACATGGTGAGCTCATTCACCGACTAAGCTCGAGCATGCTACTTAATTTTAGGAGCTACTAAGAATTTTCTTTAAGTGAATTAGTTTTTGCTCAAATTACATGTCTTCTCTATTTTATCTTGAGCAATAAGTGAGATTACGTTCTACATTTTTTATTCATGTATCTTATTATGTATGATCAAAACCTAATCCCAAAATTTAATTTGAGGGTCATGGGATGAGCCAAGGTAAAATACAATTGTGAGCCTACATTCTTGTTTTATTCTTTCTATAGTATAAATTTCTAGTTTCTATATTTACTTTCTCACTATTCTTTTTTTTATTTGTGCTAAGATTCTTGCATAATTCATGAAAAGATAAATCAATAATTCATGAATAGAAAAATTAAAATTTAGCACCCTTAAAAGTGGGGTGTGTGTGAAATTGCCATGAATTAGAAGGGATGCCTGAAAAACTATAGAAGAAGTAACCAGAGTACTAATTTGAGAAATAACAAAAGGAATCAATTGTGAACACAAAGATTAAAGAATTTGTGACTACTAAGCAACTCACACAGATTGAAGGAAGGCTTTGAAGAATTATTTAGGGGACCTTAGAGAAGATTCTTAGAACAACTCTTAAGGTGCAACTTTCTGAAGGGCCTTATAATTCTATAATCAGTAGAAGAAATCAAAGAACAATACAAAAAATCAAATATTTATTAGAAAGAATCATATTCTTACCTTACCAAGTATAACCCTACTATAAAGAGAGATTCATCATTGATCAATGCACTTTACTAAGAAAATTGCATAGGCAAATTCACCCAACAATTTTGAGATCAAACTTCTTAAAGCATTTATGGGAAGAATTATTAGGCCATGTCATCCTTTTCCAGTCTACCATCTCATTGTTACACATCAATGTGCACCGAAGTGTAGGTCATTTCTCATAATATTTATGGTCATCCTTTTAGTAATTTTCTCCCC